AGAATATTTTAGTCTAAATATGAAGTCCTCATCTTTATTCAAGTTCCTGGAATTTCAGTCACAAATTGCAATTAAGAGTATGATTTCACCCACAGGAAATCAGTATTTTCATATCCACTTATTTTAAGGATAATTTTCACAATTAAATGTGCATTAATTCATTTGTATGTAATTTAAGAATGTCTGTCCAAGCACACCCAATATGTCACAAATATGCTCAAATTAGCACCCCAGGAGTGTTGGTCAGATTGTGCCATCAGTGAAGTTTCTGCATTTCATCAGGGATTTCTCCTTAAAGACTCCTGATAAGGTGCAGTCATTTTCTCACATTTGGCATGCAATGTATCTGAAATCCATCTTCAACTAACACACATCGATTTTTATGACAAAGATTACATAGCTAATGTCATCCAAAAAAATGACACATCTGTAATTCAAATTGCAACACTAAGGGTCTTTAACAACTCATCACCATTCATACAGTCACAAACCCTAAAGCTGCCTCTTCCCTCACTCAAAGAAGGGTAACCTTTGTCACTCTATAGAATGTGCCAAAATGTGCCCCAGAGCAGCCCGTGTCCCTTCACATCTATTTTGAAGTAAGGATGATTAGCCCTAAAGTCCTGCATGTCTACTGCTAAACACTTGGTTTGGGCTCAGAAGGCCTTACTCCATACATCAGCTATTAATTACAGAATCAGTAATGCTTAGCAGAGGCTGACTGACTGATTACTATCCAAGTATTTATTTTTATATCTGTCCTTATCCAAAAATACTAAATGGGTCAAAAATTATTTCAGCTGGAAACCTAATTTTACTTTATCACTGGCTTAAACTGGAGTAAAATCAAGCCCTGAAGCACAGTAGCATTTTTTTTTTCAATCTGCCTTGCTCACAAATTCTCCTGGAGATAAATAACATTCTAAACCTAGAAAAATTAAAAAGCCCGAAAAAATCTTGGCATGCTTTACATTTTACAAATATTAAACATATGAATTGAGCTGAGATGAAAACCGAAGGGAAAATATGAATGTGACACAGAACTATATTTACTTCTAAATCAGCATTAGATTTCTCTTCTTCTTTTAAACTTGTAACAACCTTTTAAATATTTTTTTAAAATTAGGACTAATAATTGACACTATTTAAATAACATGATGGTATTTTCAGAAAACCTATTTAATTAAAAACCACTTATTAATATTTTTATTTTAAACCAAAATGGACTTTGAATTGAGATTTCAAATGAATTATTAATTGTTTCAAAGTCCACTGGGTCCTATTCTTTTCCCCTCCAAGAAGGTTAAATTTTCCTCTATATAAAATACCAAGCCATGAGTCAAATTTGACTAGATATAGCCAGCTTCTGTGAAAAAGGAGAAAATCTGAAAGCAATAATAAAATCAAAATATCTCCAGCCCTATGAAAAGTCCAGTTTAGCCTTCTTTTATCCCAGAAACTCAAAAGAACATATGTACTATAGGGAACTGCAAAGTACATGTATCACCATTTTTTAACTCATCTAAGGATTAAAATGCAAGGAAAAAAATCCACATAAAATGAGCAACAAATAACTCAGAACTGTAATGCCTGCATAAGATAAATACTTCATGTCAAGCTCGCATTCCATTTCTAAAAAGAGTTTCTCATCTTCACTAACTTACATCCACCAATTGAGCAATTATGCAATATGTGGGTGTACCTTGCAGTAGTTTTTTTTTTTTTTTAACATCTGCATTCTGTGTTAAATTCTAACTGTACAAGATGTCTGATAATTTTTCTTTATCTTGAACCTTCAAAGTGGTAGGTTTACCAGAGACAAAACCACACATCAGAGAACATGAGTCATATAATAAAGAAATGACTCTCCCCTTCTCCCCTTTGCACCCTGAAGCTATAATAACCTAAAGACACTCTATTGTAAATGGCTTCTTTGGCAGTATTGATAGCATGTACAACTCACAATCATTTAGCCAACAAATGAAGATATTTTTAAGTCCTTACTGTATCCATAACAAATTGCTTTCAGTACCATTTCAAGGCAAATTAAAACTGTGCTACAGCAAAAATAAAATTCAGAATGTCTATGCACTTGCTTTCTTGTCATGCATAAAATATGAAACATTCTATACATGTGCCTATAAATAATAACATAAAGAGATAAAAATAATGTACAATGCCTATGCAAGTTAATCTGAAAAGTATCTCTCATTTGTATACAAAAGATCAGCCTCCACGCAGAAGTCCCACATTGATTCCATATCAAATTAAGGCAACATTTACATACAAGCAAACAACTGTTCATGCCAACTACAATACATGAGGAAGCAGAGCACCTCACCTGACCACTGCTTACGCAGGTTTCCACTTGGAAGTGCTGTAAGTATGGGAAACAACACTGAGGCCACTCTAGACTTTTATTTTCTTTTATATCCTTTTCTGCAGGTAGACAGTTAACTCCTCAGACTAACATCCTGCATCTAATTCCACATAGGAAATCAGCTTTCAACAAAGTCTTATTTGATGTGTCAATATGTAAGATTGCATCAGAAAATCTGAAGAGAACTAAATGCAGAAGCAGCATTTAGAAACATTAGCAAATAAATCCATAACAACACAGAACTACTACCACTAAAACCTTGCACCACTAAAACAGGTGCAACAACCACAGTCTTGTAAGAAAGTTAACAGAGGTGATGCTGGCATAAGATCTTTCTATGACCACCTTCCAAAAATTAAATAATCCCAATGTTTCAGTAAATCCAAGTGAAGCAATATATTCCTCCTCGAAGCAGAATAAATCAGTGGTGTCTATTCTTACCTGTGTATAGTCAAAGTCAGAAAGAGGAGCTATACTCTTGATGTAGTCCATTCGAAATTGGTTTTCTGGGTTGGCCAATGGAACTGGGGGTATTAAAGTGCTCATAGCTGAAACTATAGTCTAGAATTGGATAAAACAAAAAAACAAACACATTAATCTGGATACAGGATCAATAGAAGATAATCCAATCTGATCAGCAAAATGGGATTTCTCTCATCACAATCTTGGAAAGCATAATCCTTATAATTTCCAGTACAAACAAGCATGTAAGAACAGTATAAAGTGTGTTCTTACCACAATCGCATCTTTAACGTTTTTCCGAATATCCAGTATTTTCTGTTTCTTTTCTCTGCATTAAAACAAAAATATTAACACTTTGGTTTTTCTTCCAAAGTAGTTCAGTCACTTGCATTTAATTTTTTCACTGATTGCTTGTTTATCTGTTCTTCAAACATCAAAACATACTAACAGTAAAAAAAAAAAAAAAAAAGGCAAGACAAATGCATTTTGCCCTTATCCATTTTCTTGCATAGTATGAAGAGCAATGCACATTCATCCCTAATATATTTTTTAAATCATTCAATCACAGCCATATCTGCAAAGCTTCCCCTGATAGAACTGGAAGTCATTCTTTCATTTCTACAGCATGTTGTAAACATGCTCTAAATTAACAACACGTAAGTGAAGGCCAACAAATACCTAAAATGAATGCTATGGATTAATAATTATTTCTGGCAAAGAGTTCTTTAGAGAGAAAATGATGTAGCTTCACAAAACAGGAGAATTTCTAACGAATAGCCAAAATTAGTTTCAGTTTTATGCTAACCTCAGAACCGGAAAAACAGCGCACAGTGTCATCTGATTATGATTTGACATGTATTTTTATATTACAGACAGATGCAATATTTGGTTATTTGCTTCTATGTAAAAAGTAGTCGCCATATTGTTGCTACACAGGGGCCTGTCAAGCGCTGCAGTAGCAACAGTGTAAAATACAGTAAAGGGGCCAGAAGGAGAAAATGCAAACATACAATAGCAGCAATTTCCTTATTCTCACTCCCCTCCCTCCCTCAAAACACAGTGTCAAGCCACCAAACATAGGGGATGAGAGGAGAAATTTCCTAGCGTACTGTGTGTTAACCTGTTTCCAACATTTAAGGAAAAATAAGTCACAAAGTGTCAATAATTCTTACTCTGAATTAAATCCATTGACATGTAGGATTCGCATTTGTTTCACAATAGTGCTTTTTCCTGACTCACCAGCCCCTAAAAGAGAAAGAAGGAAAGGGAGAACATTGTGATACACAGTTCAGGCTAGGTGGTCGGAGAGTTTTTTTGGTGGGTATTTTTTTTCCTGTTTTTTTTTTTTTTTTTTTGGACGCGACAGCATCTCCCACCTCGGCAGCATTTCTGTATGTGTGCATCCATGTGGCTCAGGCGCTGAGCTCGATCTGTGGACGGCTCGCTTATTGCTCAGTACAGCAGCCTACATTTTCCATAGGCAAGGCGCTGGCCGCATCTCCCCTCTCGGCTGCGCCCGCCGCCCCGGCGGGCTGGGGCTGCTGCCCCCTCCTCGCCCTGCTCGCCCCGGCCCCCACCTCTGCCGCTTCCTCCTTACCCAGCAGCAGCAAGCGGTGTGTCGCTTTATAAGCCAGCCTCTCTTTCTGCAACTGCTTCTCTATTTTTTTGTTGGCTTCTCGCTGCGCTTTCTCATCGATACGCTGATCCTCCGTTTTGCTGTTGCCCAAACACCCCATAGCCGCTGCTCAGGGTGGATGTCAAATCGCTGCCTTCTCAGATTTAGTATTTACAAGGGGGAGGGAGTGGAGGGGAGGCAGAAGACAAGTCTTTATATCCGTGTGTATCCCTGCGACGGTTTCTCTCCGCTTCTTCCCACCCGGCTCGCTCACATAAAATGGTCTCTGGCCGCTTTCCGATCGCAGCGGAGTTGGCTGCTTCGCTCCCCACCAGAGATGCGGAGAGCAGGCGGCAGAGGTAACCCTGCCCCGGCGGGGAGGGGGTGGGGGGAGAAAGCTGTGCAAAAATGCCTAACATGCAACGAGAGGGAGAAAAGGGCTCCTCCTGGAAACCAGCCGGGTGCCGCTCTCCGCTCTCCCTCCCCACCGCGCACACAATCCCTATATTTCTCTGTAAAGGTCTATTTTTGTCTTCCTAACTCAGCACTGCCTCTTTCTGCGAGACCAGGAAACAGCCCCGCTACAGCCCTACGCGCAGGGAAGCCGAAGGAGAAAGGTAAAAGCCGGACGGATCTACCTGGATCCTGCGGGGCCGGGGCCAGGCGGCGCCGCGGGGTCCGCGCCCCCCGCCCCGCCCGCCCCGCTCGGCGGCCCCGGCCCCGGCCCCGGGCGCGCTGCTGCCGCCAAAACCCGGAGCTGGCATCGCCGCCGCGGGACTGCGGCCTCCGGACCCTCGCCCGCGGCCCGCCGCAGGGGCAGGGAGCCGCGGGGACCCGGGGGGGACCTTTTCCCGACCTTTCCCCGCGTTCCTCGGCGGTACTGGGAGATCCCTGCCGCTACCAGAGCGAGGGTTGGCACTCCTGGGTCTAGAATCCCAAGCTGGCACAGGTGATGGCTGCTATCGTGACTGACCTTCGGCAGCAGCAGCCAGCCCCTGGCACCAGGGTGTGGGACCGACCGGGGTCTGCCCATGTGAGCCCCGACACACAGAGCACGCGTATGCACAAACACCCTGCCTCGACTTCTTAACCAACAAAATGTCCCTTTCCACACAGGTAGTCACGGCAGCACATGGGCCTTTTTTCCCTTTCAATATTCCAAACTGCATTGGCTGAACCAGAAAATGACGCTGTCCAAACAGCTCACGAAAATGTGTAATCTCAACATGATAATATGCATGTCTAATATCACTACAACAACAAATGTCGACAAGAAACCGTATCTCTGTTCCTTCATTTGCCTCCATTTTAGAACCTAAAATGAAACTTCAAGCTAGACAACCCTATAGATATTCATTTTTGCTTCAAACCTCTTGCCTTGCAAACTGGCACCTCAGTGCAAAAGCAGCAATACAGCACCTGGCTTGTCCTAAACTCCCCCTGCATAGAAACCACCTGCACTGTTCAGATGTGATGCTTGATACATTGAGACACAAGAAGACTAGGAAAGGAATGGACGTTACTCTGCAGTCCCCGAATACTTTCAGCTTTTATCTCCAAATAGTATTAGTCCCCAACTTTCAAAGACGGCTTACTGAAAAATTAGTATTTTGACAGATACATAAGTGTGCAAAATCCTGGTCCCAACTAAAAGAGAGATTGCCATCAACTTAAATGAAACAAAATAGCATTTTAATCTAAAAAAATATTGAAAAGTGTGTAGCAAAAAAAAAAAAAAAACTAGATTTTTACAAGCAAAAGGATTTATTTTAGTTGTTTTTGGTTTTTTTCAATGGCTCCCTCACTCAGGTGGGAAATGCTGAATCAAGGAAGAGAAACTGGTACTGTCTACTTTGAGCACACATCAGGAAGGTGAAAAGGGCAGGACCCAGAAAACGAACAGGTATTGCTCCACCTGTGGTTGGGTATGTGGAGTTTTCAGGAGACTATGAAATTCAAGTGCCAGAGATGTGGTTTTATGGTACTGCTTGATCTTGACTCTGGAAGCTGTTTTCATCTTCCCTCTTATATAGATGGGGGATGCTGGAGGCAGAACACACTTCAGGATTGACAGGACCTGCCAAGCCAAAATATGCATTTTTAAGCTACATATTTTGCTTAGGACAGACTTCTTTTTTTTTCCTATTGACATTTTTCTGTCTGTAGAGGCAAAAAGCACCTCAGACACAGAATAGGTTTGGAAGCACAGTTCAGGGTGACTGCTGTTTTTGGAGGCTGTCAGACACAGGGTATATGATGAATAGCTTTTGTGAAAAGCAGTCATGTTTGCTCCCTGCCACAGCACTATGAGAGCTCAAAACTGAATGGCTTGGTTAGAAATCACTAACTGGGTCTGAATTTTCATAGTCCTTCAGTATTAGAAGCTGTAATTTATGATGCACAAGATGTGTGTAGCAATATTAATTACCTATGTAAATACCTCAGTTTGAGACCTGAGTCCCAAATCTGGCTAGTATCAGTCAGTCTGCAGGAATCTGCCTTGTTTCTTCCCCTCCTCTCCCCAGCAGCTTTCCTCTTTCATGTACTAACACTGGGATTTTTGGTGCAGGCTTGTTCCCAGCTTTGAAACGGCTCAGTGCCAAGAAATAGAATTTTACAGGATCCTGGTATATCCTGCTTTTACCTTTCTCCAAAAGAGGGAAAGTGTTTCTCATTTCCTCTCTCCCCCTCGAAAAACCCCATGACCCTTTTGGGTCTCTTCCTCCTGAGAAAAGATCACACAGTTCAAGAATGATATGTGCAAGCAACCTGTGCCCAGAAAGAACTTTTAGCTGTAATTATATTCCCAACCCTCCCTTTGCTTTTTCCTCAGAATGCACTGTTTATGAGCCTCAGGCTGATTGGGGAGCACAAGCTGCTTGCTTGAGGCCATATTTGCATATGGGGAGCGGATTGACAACCCAGCTGAAGCCACACTGGGTGGTCAGTCCTGCCCACATTTCTCATGCCTCTTCTGCTTGGAATAAGAAGGGACAAAACCCCAGTAAGAATTAATGTGGAGCTCCTACAGATGCAGCTCAAGAGACCTGGTTGCCCCTCCAATCCAGAGCACGACTGATGCAGAGCTTTTTCTTGCAAACACTAGGTAAAAGTGGAGAAAGTTTCTATATAGCAACACTGCAGACCATTTGCAGCCCATCTTCCCTTTCACAGCTTCCTTTATGGTTTTGGTTCCATTTTTTAAAAACGAGAAAATAGAAAGATGGAGGTAATCAAAAGCATAGGAAGGACCTAAGGCACTGGTAAAGAGATTCTTCTGGCCTGCCAGTCTTCCTGCATCAACTTTCAGAGGGATCTCTGAACTCTCTGCTGACACTATCCTCAAGTATGGGCACTGTACTAGGTGAGTAACACTGGTGACCTGATCTCTGCTTCTCCTCACTGACCTCTCTTTTTCATGTAGCCCACTGTTGCAAATCAGGATATGCAACTCACTAGTGGTTTAGTTTTTACTCCAGCTCAGCATCAAATTATGAAGGAAAAAAAAAGAGAAAAATTAATTGTAACTGCATAGGTATACAAGAAAAATAAATTTTCTCTCTAGTAATAAATTACTGGTAAGTTTCTCTCTGAGTAGATGTCAAATATTAACACAAAAGTACACACTCAGTGGAAGGCTACATTTGGAGTTTTATAAGATACGTGAACCATGAACCAAAAAAATTATTACTCTAACTGTGTTAAAAATACTGACTAAGGGTTCAGGAAAAAACCAGCACGTACTTTGCAGAGAAGTGAGTATCACACTCAAAAACAAATCTAACCTTCATCCTTTTGTTTAAACCAATGACCTCAAAAAGGTCATTACAATTTTTTGAGAGGGGCTCATCTGTTTTAAGAAGCAGGATGGGAGACATGCCAGAAAATAGGAGGTATGCATTTGCACAGTGACCGTGGACCTGATCCCGAATTATCTTCATGTCCATTGATTAAGGACAAATTCACTGATGCAGAAGAGGGTCAGGCAATGCTGAGGGGCCTGGCAAAGCTTTGAGTAGGTCCTTGGCTCCCTGACATGGTTTGCTGTCCTCATTCCCAAGCCATACTCCTTTACTTGGCAGCTGCCACAATGTAACTCACCTGACAAACCAACTTCTCCCATGCCTACTCCTCTCCCATCTTTGTGTAGCACAGGGAGCAAAAGGGAGAAAGCAGCAAAAGGGAGAAAGCAGAGAAGGAGAAAGGAGGCACATGATGGAGTAGAAGGCTGTGAGCTTAAGATAATAGTCTGAAGTAGAAGAAAAGTTTTCCACAGAAAAACTGCAGGCAGCAGTCCACAGAAATGACAATGACAGCCTTTAGCCTTGAGAAAGTATTTGTGAAGGGGAAGATTAGATCTAGCAGGACCCAGATGCTCCTCGGGAAGCCTGTGTAGAAAAGCATCAGGTGAAAAGCATATTTGCAGTATGATTACACTAAAGAAAGAAGACAATGCTCTTTCATTCAAGCTAGTTATTCCTCATCCAAGCTAGTTGCTCCTCACTCATGTCCCACAAGAAAGCAGAGGGAACAGGAAACTTCTGCTATGGCCATCCTGTCAGCTCAGGGCTTCCCTTTAGACCCTTACTGGTAAGATAATTCCGGTGTTTATTCTTGTCTTTTCTGACTAGAAATTCCTTATCTATGAAGAGAGACTCACATGGCATCATTCCACACATGTCCATCTGTTGGTACCAGAGGCAGAAGCAGCTGATTGAAATTAACATAAATCCAGCAACGTCCTAATAGAATTTTACAGCATAAGCAACCTCCTGTGGTTTAAATATTCTTACCTATTACAATGAAATAACATTGTTAAACAAAATGACACGGATGCCTTTGCAATAAGCAAAAGGGACACCGCTTTTGATGAATTTGCAGGACAACAGTATTATAGGATATGTTACATTTTTGGCAAAACAGGAGGCACTTTTCTGTCAGTATCCCAATTTATGAGGAATTTCACTTGGCTGGACACGCCAAGGGCACTTCCCCAACTTCCCTCCCCACCCCTTGAACAAAGTAATACGTTCCCATTTTAAGGTAGTGGAAAATTAGTTCTAACCAGTTGTTTAGGGGAGTCATTAGGATTAAACAGATTAAAGCCAGGCAAAACATGCTAATATTGCCCTAATTTGAAGTGAATTAATCAATAAATAAAGAAGTCAGCTAGAATTATAGCTGAAGTTACCACTTTCAGAAAAGGAGTAATATCTATACAGCAGACATGTCCTGGATTCTCTGCAACATGCTGACTAACGTCTTGCACAGCTGTAACAGCAAAGCCAAATCATCTGTCTGCATTTTCTAAAAGCTTTTATATGTCATGTAAAATTTTGCATGTAATAATAAATGTTCAGATCAACTATCATGATCTCACTAGTTGGACAGGAACAAAAAACTGTAAGGAAAACTAACATGGGTGACACTGAACATAACTGCGATGTGCCTTAACCTCACCTTTAACTCCAAGGCACACCTCTACAGTCATAGCATGCCTGCCTCCACTCCTGGTCTTTAGACAACAGTCTGCTGAGCTAGATTTTCTCTATATTTACCCCAAACACATCCGAGCTGTGATCTTGTATTACCCCTCTATCTTGATATAAACTTAGAGATACTTTTGAGTTTCTTCTCAGCTGTTTTAACTTCTTTGCTCGAGAAATTAAGTTTTAGCTACTCTAGGACATAGTTAATTTTCAAAAAAAAAAAAAAAAAAAAAGGAAGTATATGTTTAAAAAGTAATGCTCTAATTCCTGTGAGTGCCTGAATGGTTAGTGGTATCTCTCAATAGAAAATTCTTACAAATATAGAAAATCACTGCATTCAACTACCTTAGCATGAAGTTAGGAATTCTATAACTGTTTCTTAACCCTGTTTAAGGATTCTAACATGCAATTACACACAAGAGCAATCATTAAAAATTCGCTTCAGGAAATAACGTTCCCAGTAAGTTGGTAGCCTCATGCACTCATGGCCTGATTTACATCAATAATGTTTACCACAGAAATACAGCTTTTGCTTGGCTGCATGACTAGTAAATCCAGATAAAATATCAAAACTTACTGAATAAACAACAACCCAGTATTTTTCTCCTTAAGTATCTAATTTTTTAAATTATACATCTGCTTGTAACAAACACCTGTTGAGTCATGTTCTGCTTGGCCTTTTGTGATATTAGATCTTAAGTTTCCTATAAGTAGTTCTAGAGTATATTCATACAAAGCAGATGATCTCTGGATTAAATAGCTCTCACATATTTGCTCTTAATTGAAGAGAGATGGCTTGTTGACCCATGTGGTCCTTTCCACAATAATGTTTATGTTACAATTAAGCTTCAGGCTTTCATGACATGAATTTATTTATTTCTCTGTATAGAGAAAATGGTCAATATGAAGACCAGGCAGACTATATAGATGACTATTCCATCTGCATACCTATGTGGCAGAGGGGGAAATACAATCTTAAAGCATGATAATCTCCTGGAAAGTAAGACTATTTTTTCCTCTTTTTCTACTGTTTATTTAGTCACTTTATTCACTGCTAGTCTCAAATGTTACTCTGATATAACAAGTTCATGAAATTCAAACCCATATGATTTTACTGATCTTATTTTTACTAAAACACAAAAGTTTTTTCCAGTATTTATTGGGATGCTTGTATAACATGG